TCTTTACCAAATTCATACAACCTCCTTAATAACTGCGCAATAGAAAGTAAATCGGAAGCTGAATTGTCGCTAGAATATGTTAAAAACAAACTAATAGATGAGTATTGTAGATACGTGTGGAAACTAAGAAAGTTCAAAAATACGATTCATTTGCCTTTAAAAAGTAAAAGCGAAAATAAATCAAAGCATATGTTACACGATATTGTACTTATTGTAAGAGAAATAACTATACGATAAATGACTGTTTTCATTTAAAAAGCAAAGAACTTCCCCGAAAACAGATGTAAATAATAGTAAAGTAAGAAATTATTCTCAAAATTAATAAAAGTAATGCATGCCAAATAGCAAATACGCAAAGTATAGAAAACATAACAAAACTTAAAGAAAATAAGTATCTTAAAAGTATTGAAACTGAAAATTCGCAAATTCAGTTTAATCAAGGTCTAAAAGTGGAAAATAAACATGAAAACACGCAAACGCAAGAATGCGTTATTGACTCAGGAGCCTCAACTCATATGACGAGTGATAACAATTTTTTCTCTCGGTTAAATGACTCTAATAAACAAATAGTAACTGTAGCCAATGGTGCTAAATTAAATTCTTATGGTATTGGTGAAGGCTATTTTAAAGCTCAAAAACTTAAAGAGTTATAGTTACACGCGTTCAGCTCATTCTGGAAAGTATCAGCTTTTCCCACAAGTGCTATGCAAAATAATATGTTTGGGCATATCACGTCGTTTGCTCACATGTCCACGGATTGAGAATAAAAAAAATAAGATATTACTTAGCCCATTTGAATAATAATAATTTCATCAAAGACAGCACGTGAACAAAACACACACTTTATTTCCACTGCCGGTTGAGCACATGGTTATCAGTACATCAGGTTACAGTTGAATTGCAGTTAAAAAAACACAAGAGAAAAATTAGGAACTTAGGCAATCAAATAAACAATAACAAAAATTACAAAAAACACTTTAAAAAATCAGTTTGCAATATCTACGATCAACCAGTATTTTTCCTTTCTAATTAATCATTATTTTATAATTTATTATTATTATTTCCCACAATTTCATGCTAGCAGGCAAGCCATATTCAAAACTGTGAATAGACTGCTTCCTGCATAGTGCAGCCATCTGGTGGTGAGATAGTAAAGTGAATGTTGCTCTAACATCACTCCCTCACCAGTAACTAAGTTACGATACTTCATAAGGCATAGAATATAACAATTACAGTCATATAGCAAATGATAAATACACATCACTATTTTATCTATCATATGGTAATTATCTAATATATAATGTGATGAAAACTATTATTTTGATATAATATAGAAACAGATAAATATAGAATTTATCAATTATTTAAAAAAAATTGCTCAATTTTCATTTGTAATACATAGAACATATGCCGATAACTTATTAAACCATAAATTATGAAGGGAAAACTAAAGTCTTGCCCTCTTTCACACAATAAGTATTTTATAGAAACTGAAAAAAATGCATTAACTAGAACGACATTTGACATCTTGTTTGCTACCAGTAAAACAACTGTCAAGTGTATTCTAAAGTCAATACTATATGGTTTAACTTTTGCAAACATGACAAATCACTAAAATTAATAAAAATTATCAGAATAACTTTGTTTCTAAAAATCTCCTAGTAAAGAATTCAATATCAATGACATACAATAGAAAATACTTTAACCATTGAGATGTTTACATATTACTAGTATAAAATGCAATATCAATAAGGTACAGTAATAAAAAATACTTTAAGCTTTGAGAACATGTTTACCTATTCATGAAAATAATTTTCAAAGGCATTATTCTAGATTTAAAAAATAAAGTGATTACTTTTCAATGATATATACATATCTTAATCTTGGAACCGTACAGGTAGCTTTATTTTTCTACCACAGCGACTAGTCATTCATTGTTTGTTTATTATCATTAGTTATGACCTGAGGGATTTGTGACTTTGAGCTTTCAGTATTTTTGTCACCCACTGACATTGCAGGTGTATTATCATAGTTGATATTTGTACTCAACAAGTAGGCAGGCTTAAGCCTGTCAATTGAGATGTTGACTTGCTTTCCCTTAATTGACACACCAAAATATTTCTCGTGTCTCTGCACTACAAGAAAAGGTCCATCGTACGGTGGTTCCAGGGGTTTTTTAACTCTGTCTATTCGTACGAACACATGAGAGCAGGAGCTGAGGTCTTTATGAACAAAGATAGTCTGCTTTGTTGTATGCTGAACTTTCATTGGTTTCAACCTGTCCATGTATCCCTGAAGCCTGCTTGCAAAGGTATCAGGTTCAATTTTTAAAGTAGGTACATGAAAGAACTCACCAGGAAGTCGAATGTTTGTCCCATAAACCATTTGTGCTATGGAGTGGTTTGTATCCTCCCTTATCGCTGATCTCAATCCCAAAAGCACCGTTGGTATGACATCAGTCCATTTTACACTGTTATGAGCTTTAATAGCTGCTTTTAGTGTTCTGTGGAAACGTTCGACTTTTCCATTGCTCTGGGGGTGGTAAGGAGTTGTATGACAAACTTTGGCTCCACATATTATGGCCAGATTCTGAAATAATTCGGATTCAAACTGCCTCCCTTGGTCTGTGATTATTTTGCTTGGTACACCAAATCTACAGATCCAGTTTGCATAAAAGGCCTTGCTCACTGTTTCTGCAGTAATGTCTGGCAGAGGGATGGCTTCCATCCAACAAGTAAACCTATCAATGCAGGTTAAGCAATACATTTGACCATTTGATGGTGGAAGTTGTCCAACGATGTCAATGTGTATGACGCTAAATCTAACATCTGGTTCCTCAAACTGTGCAAATTTGGATTTAGTGTGTCTAATCACTTTAGCCTTTTGGCAATTTATACATGCTTGAGCCCATTCCTTAACTTGTTTGTTTATTCCTGGCCACGTAAACCTGGCAGCTACCTGTTTGACAGTAGATTTTATGCCAGGATGTGACAAGTTGTGGATTTGATTGAAAATCATCCTTCGAAACTTATGCGGGATGTATGGTCGAATTTTATTTTGTGACACATCACACCATAAAGTTTTTCCAGACGAAAGGATATATGGCTTAAAATGCAATGAGGTATTATTGGTACACAATTCTTTAAATTCATTATCCGTACACTGTTCCTGAGCTATTTGCTCGTAATCAATGGCAGAAACTACTTCGATTCTTGATAAAGCATCAGCGACAGTGTTATCCTTCCCACTAACATGCTTGATGTCTGTGGTGAATTGAGATATGTACTGAAGCTGACGTAACTGTCTTGGAGAAGCTTTTTCATTCTTCTGTTTGAATGCAAATGTTAAAGGTTTGTGATCTGTCAGGATAACAAATTCTCTGCCTTCCAACATATACTTAAAATGTTTCACGGACAGGTACACACCTAACAGCTCACGATCATATGTGCTGTACGCTTTTTGAGTTTCGTTTAATTTTTTGGAATAGAAGGCTATTGGCTTCCAACTTCCAGCTTCATATTGCTGTAATACTGAGCCTACAGCCCAATCTGAAGCATCTGTGTACAAAGATAATGGAAGTCCAGGTGTTGGGAAACTCAGAAGTGCAGCATCAGCTAGATCTCTTTTGCATTGTTCAAATTGTTTAATGGCATCATCTGTCCAAGGAACTGGCCTCCTGTCTTTCTTTTTGGCACCTTTCAGCATTTCATGTAGCAGTGCTTGTGTTTTTGCAGCATCTTTCAAATACCTGCGGTAAAAATTCAACATGCCTAGAAATGTACGTAGGTCATGCAAGGTTTTTGGTAACTTGTAATCCAAGATCACTTGAACTTTCGCAGGGAGAGGTTGTGATCCTTTGGCTGTGATGAGGTATCCCAAGAATTCTATTTGGTCAACACCCATTATGGATTTTGCTACGTTAATACGAAGACCATAAGTATTCAGCCTCTCAAAAACTAACTTAAGGTGCTCTTTGTGTTCTTCTTTTGATGAGGAAGCCACTAGCACATCATCTAAATATGGAAATAAAAAGTTCAGGCCATGAAAAAACCTCATTTATAAAACGTTGAAATGTAGATGGGGCATTTCGTAGGCCAAAACTCATAACATTGAATTCATATAAACCAAATGGCGTAATGATGGCAGTTTTGGGCTTATCTTCTTCCGCGATAGGTATTTGATAATAAGCCTTGACAAGATCAATTTTAGAAAAGATAACTTTATTTTGCAAGATCAGGTTGAAATCCTCTATTCGAGGGATGGGATATCGATCAGGAATAGTTTGCTCGTTTAATCGCCGATAATCACCACAGGGACGTAGCGTGCCATCTTTCTTGTTAACTAGGTGCAGTGGACTAGCCCACTGAGATTTTGATGGTCGAATTATATTATTGTCCAACATAAATTGGAATTCCTGCTTGGCTAATGCCAATTTTGCAGGATCTAGTTGTCGTGCACGAGAGTGAACAGGTGGTCCTTTGGTAGTAATGTAATGCTGGACACCATGCTTAACAGAGGTACTCAAAATATTAGGTTTTGTGATATCTGGATATAATTTAAGTAAATCAGAAAATTCTGAAGACTGATCAAAAGTGCTAATGCAGTGCTCATCAGTTATAGACAAATATCACTGTTGACATATAACTGGGTAATACCATCAATCAATTTTCTTTTGTGAATATCAATCAGAAGGTGAAATCTATTTAAAAAGTCACCACCAATAATCCCTTTACTTACCTTGGCTACCACAAAAGGCCATTCGAACTGCCGTCGTAGTCCTAGATCGAGAGTTAAAGTTTTTAATCCAAAAGTTGTAATTTCAGTTCCATTAGCTGCGTACAATGTGTAGGAGCAAGGTTTTTCAGCTTTTAAATTTGCTGGAATGAGAGATACGTCAGCACCACTATCTACTAAAAACCGTAAACCCGTTTTTCTGTCCTTCACAAATAATCGGAATTTGCGGCAATCGGGACTCATTGCAGCAGGACTTGCCGCCGATTCTACTGCTGGTTCATGTTTTCCGATTGTTTCCAGCTGCAAGGTTCTTTGCACTTTTCTGGGAAGCACTTCTCGCCAAACTTGAAGTGGTAATAGCAGTATTTACCATTTGGGTTGAACCTTTTCCTAGATCTGTTGCGACTCGTACTGCGATTTCCACTGGGACTCCGATATCGTGATCGGGAGTTACGAGCAGTCATATTCGCTATTTGAAGTTCTAAAGCAGAAATCTTATTTAACAGCTCGTCCACAGGAACGGTATTCTTGTTAACACTGGCAAGTTCCGCTCGTGGTTGCATTTCTAATATTTTGTCTGCCATCGTAGCTAATTTTTCCAAGTTCTCATCACTTACAATCAGCACATGTTTCACGGCATCGGGCATTTTTTCAAGCCAAAGAGTTCGTAGCACTTTGTCGGAAATATCATCCGTGTCACCGAGCGATCTCATTCTGCGCAGTAGTTGGCTGGGTTTCGTATCACCCAGTTCTAACCCCGTAAGGAGACGTTTGATTTTGAGATTTTCACTTTCTTTAAACGTCTGCATCAAACGCGCTTTAGCAGCAGAATATTTATTGGTTCCGGCATCCTTTATTATGTCCCAAATATTTTCAATAAATCGTGGTTCGAGCTGGGCCACGAGGTAATTGAACTTCGTCTCCTCGCTGGTTATTCCGCTAATGGCGAACTGGGCTTCAACTTGGTAGAACCAGATTTCTGGTTTGTCAACCCAGAAAGGAGGTATCTTTACGCTAACTCTGTTAGCCTCGGCCTTATCCTCGACCATGGAAGGCTGTACGTCAGGCATGATGAACGAAATGTTCCAGAAGAGAGTCCTAAGGGTCACCACATATAGTTACACGCGTTCAGCTCATTCTGGAAAGTATCAGCTTTTCCCACAAGTGCTATGCAAAATAATATGTTTGGGCATATCACGTCGTTTGCTCACATGTCCACGGATTGAGAATAAAAAAAAAATAAGATATTACTTAGCCCATTTGAATAATAATAATTTCATCAAAGACAGCACGTGAACAAAACACACGCCGGTCGAGCACATGGTTATCAGTACATCAGGTTACAGTTGAATTGCAGTTAAAAAAAACACAAGAGAAAAATTAGGAACTTAGGCAATCAAATAAACAATAACAAAAATTACAAAAAACACTTTAAAAAATCAGTTTGCAATATCTACGATCAACCAGTATTTTTCCTTTCTAATTAATCATTATTTTATAATTTATTATTATTATTTCCCACAATTTCATGCTAGCAGGCAAGCCATATTCAAAACTGTGAATAGACTGCTTCCTGCATAGTGCAGCCATCTGGTGGTGAGATAGTAAATGAAGTGTCTAACATAACCATTCTCGTACTGCCCTAAATAGGAAGAGTAGCTTAGGTAACGTATACAACGACTTATATACGTAGACGGCTCACCCAAGGAGTTAGAATAGAAGGAGGGAAGGTTCAACTCAACGGTGAAGCTTGGCGGCCATGTTCCTGTTATCGCTGTGACTTGTGCAAGGAAGTCTGTAATTGCAATATTTTTTTCTTTTCTTTTTGAAGCATGTTAGTTTGTGTTGTATATGGATGCACAAATAGATTTTCGAAAATGATTCCCTGGATTACTTATCACGCGTAAGTATTGATTTTTTTTTTTTTTTTTTTTTTTTTTTGTGGTGTGTAATTTGATAACTATGGTAAAAAATATCACAATGTCATGCTGTTTTCTTTTCAGATGTAAAAAAAAGGACTTAAAAATAATCAAAATATGTTAAATACATTTTAATGTTTCTGTTTATAGCTGGTATCTTTGTTCCTTAATATACAATGATGTATGCTAGGATTTAAACTGTATAATTTGAACGTTTTAGGTAATTCGTTTGATAATTTTCATGAAAAGTAGGATACCAATTGTTACTATTTTTATGAATTATAAAGGTGTTAAATAAAGTAATACTTTTCTTTATGTATTACTTAATATTCATTTTTAAGTTTTTTGAACTGTTAAGAATATAATTTGTGCATTTGATCAAGATAAACTAACTTTTCTGTTGTTCAAATTTTTTTTGCATAAATTTACAAATTTGTGGGCAATATAGCGATAAAAGTAAGTAAAATATTTACACAACTGAACATGTGGAAAGATGTGTCCAAAAATATAGGTATAGACATATTTCTGTAATTCAGCTTAATGCAAGCAATTTCTTTGAGATTCATAAATATGAAACGCGCATAAGCTGAAATCACTGAATTCACATAAATCTGTTTTATTTTATTAATATTTATATCTTGTGTTTATAAGGTTGTTGGTTGTTAAAACTATTTAAAACTTTCATTAAAAAAAATGCAACCTGTGACTAATTTTTTAGATAATTATCTGCTATTAATTTCAGGTTAAATATTTTAAATGATTCTTTAATAAATTAACAATATTGTGAATAAATCAGAAATATCACTTCTTAAAGGAAAAAACTGGAAAGTACACCCAACAGGTTGCTAATAAAACCTAAACAAATTCTTTAAATATGCAGAAACATTATTTTTAAAGGCTTTAATGTTATGCACATGCATTTAGATTTCGAAATATTTCTTAATGATTTTCTGTATGTAATAAATTACGGATATACATCTTGTAACTTTAAAACAAAAAACTAACAATAGCGAAGTATTTCATTATAAATTTTACATATTTTTAGTGGAAAATACATGCACGGAGCAGCTTAACGTACGTTTCACTGCCGTAATGCAATGTTTTGAAGTTACAAACATGGACGCCGCTTGTTCCATGGAGTTTCATTCCCCGATAGTGGAGGAAACTGCGAACTCTCCCTCCTTCTATTCTAACCTCCTTGGCTCACCCACAGAGAATTCGTCTGCTAGGGTGTCTCCAACATATACCACGTGACTAATCTCTTTGGAGTGATAGCTTAGGCTGTTCATCGCCAGTTTGGCCCGCTTTTTGATATGGCAGGTAGTGCTTTTTATTTCCGTCTGCTAGCAGTCAGCAGACAACGCCTCGAATTAGGTTGTTCTTATTTTTTACAATTATATTAGATATAACTTAACCCCGTTTTTCCTGAATATTTTATCTATATCTTAATAATCGCTTTAAATTATTTGCACCATTCTTTAAGATGTTTAGGTTAAATAATTTTAGGAAGAAAATCTAAAATAAATAATAAAAAATTGAGATGGAAACTTTAATTTTGAATAACGTTAAAAATTAATTGCACTACTGTTATAATATTTGAGAAGGTAAAAGAAATCTCGTTTAATTTTAATGCATTGCATCCTAAAGAGAAAAAGAAAATCACATTGTATTATATGTATTTATGCCATTGATTGCCTCTCTTTTCTTGAGATTATATAACTGGAACAAAATAATGCAGTCTCTTTTCTTGAGATTATATTACTGGGACAAAATAGTGCAATCTTAATTACTGATTTCCACACTCATGTGTATGTCATGGCGGGGATCAATACATCTTATTAACTATGACAAATATTTTATATTGAATATGTATCAAACGGTAACAAACTTCAACTCAGTATTTACTATTAGGATCAAAACGATATTACAGTTAAAAATTCTCTCACTCTCCTTTTTTTTTAAATACTATTTAAAATATGATAAGTTTTTCACATCACATTTTTTCAATTATAATAAATTTTCTAACAGCATCGTAGATGAGACAGAATTATAATCCAGATTATTTTATTTTAATTGATTTTATAGAAAATAATGATAAAGCATTGAGCTTTATAAAAGTAATCTGATTTTTAAAATAATGCTGTTTAACTGTTTATGTTCAATGTTGCATGAATCAAGATCTTCAGCTTTTTTTTTTTTTTTAACAAAGTAAACATATCGCACAATCTTTTCTCAATAATTTAATGCTAATAATAGCATTTTTCTTTTTTTATTGCAGGCAGTAATTGTTTATGAAATCAAAACGCGTACGACTTGGCGAAAAAAGGTTAACGCCAATTGGCGCAGCTTTCTATTTCAACGGAGTACGCGGAAAAAGAATATAAAATTCAATTATTTGTAAAGGGTGATTCCAGTAAAAAGTATCACAGTATTTAATACATTTTGATGCTAATAATACATGATGAAAAATGTCATATTCAGCGGCAATGTTCTGCCTCTGAATATGATATGGCTGAAACTTTCCAACCACTTCAACAGAGATAGCAAAATGACAAAAATACTGGAAATAAAATAATAAATCACGCAATTTTAACTTACCTATGAAAGGTTACAAGTCCTCCTTTTACGAAACTTTCTTTACATCTATAGGCGCTGCAGCGGATAACCATTTTTTCTTAAATTTTATGTGACCAAGCAGAGCAGCAGTCTTTCGTTCCATAGAAAGCAATGTAAAGTATTTCCGGACTTTCGGAATTCGCGCAGCAGTCACGTGACACTAATGTTGGAACCGGTTGAAGGTTGCAATACGCTCTCTACCAGTATAATATCTCGTTGGCGTATACTCGCTATTTCACAAGATTTAGTTTCCACACTAATGTCTTTAACATTCTTAACTCTGGTTAGCATTAAAATTAACTCATCAACAGTATCTTGTATGACCTGTTGTTCTTCTATAAATACATCAATATCTTTTTCTTCACACATGCTAAAAATATCCGAAAGTTCGGTCATTAAATTATTTAAAAATAGTTCTAACTGATCAACATCAGCAGAATCGTAAGTCACTGTAATTTTCTCTTTCAGTTTACTTAACTTAGCTTTAGCTACACGCTTTTTAGTCTTAAGCGTTGTAAATTCCATTATCTAATAAGAAAGATAAAAAAACACACTGACTCACCAAATTTACTGCGACTCCGTAGCCGATGGACCAAAAACATGTACGTTCCGTTGTTTAAAAATAGTGGACTGTAAATTGACTTGATATTACTTCAGTATAGAACCCAAAAAACCTCAGAGTCATAACGTTGACCGAAACTTCTTTATTGACTTTCAAATAGTAAGTTAGTTGAGGAACGGCGAAGACCACACAAACTCCGACTTCAGTGGCGGCTTACCAAACACAAACTCAGAAGAACCTCTGCTTAGTTGAAACTCCAGTAATTCACAGCAACCTCAAAGCTCTAAACTCGAGCTTTAAAAACCTAACAAATTTGCGTCTGCGCCGCTCCTCGGTACAAAGAAAGAAATACAATTTGCATAACATCGAACACTATAAGAATTGCTTTTAAATTCAGTCCTCTCCAGCAAAAGCGCAGGAATTAATTAATTAAATATTTCCATTTTCTTTACCTGTGTGTATATATAAAGAGAAAAATCTTATTTTTATAACTTCTTCTATAAAAAGAGATATGAATTAAAAATGTTTAAATTAAAAATAATATATTATGGATTATGCATAAAATATAACTGCCATAGTGCATTTTAAAACAAACGAGATTTCTAATAAATTATCCAGCTATGACCCTGAAGTCAGCGGTATACAAGCTTAGCAAATTTTTGTGTAAATATTGTGAACCTTTCTTTGTTGCTCTGTATTTTTAAAGTACCAACTATTTTTAATTCCTTTAACTTTTTTATTCTATTTATTTATTTGTTTATTTTTTCACTAACAGTACATTTTAGTTTTAATAATTATATATATTATTTCATTAATATTTAAGGCTTCTAAAAACGCAAAACCTTTTTAAAAATTTACTTCAGCTTCTATGGAATTAGTGATGTTCATAATATGCATTATAACCTTACTTATCTAAAAATTGCTAGCGTACTTTAGTTTCGCAGTTCATAAACAGAAATAAAAATTTCCAATA